TTCCCTCTGGGCGAGGATCCTGTGTCCCCAGCAGACTTCCTGAGGAGGGTGCAGCCCAAACGATTGTCTCAACGCCCCCGGGGTGGGTGACGCCTAAATCCTCACATCTGCCCAGACCTCGCCCCTGGGCTCCAGACAGCCTCCGGCATCTCCGCCTGGACCTCCCAAAATAGCCCCAGCCCAGGGAGGGGGCAGATGCTGGGGGTATTTCTGGCAGGCGGATCACTCCTCTGCATCAGGGATAGGGTGGGTCTGATGGAGCCAGGGCCCCTTCCTGGCCCGGAACACGGCCTCCCCTGCACGTCCCTCTCCCTTGAGAAAATCGGGGTCACCCTGCTGCCATTGTCTACCTTAGGCAGCCCCTGCTGCCAGTCGGACCCCCAGAGGGAGGCAGCCTGGGTGGCCAGGGGCAAGTCTGCCCATTCCCGAGGGGGCAGTCCAAGGATGGGCACCTGGGAGGCCTGAGCCGCCCCCACCCTGTGGAGCCCTGCGCCCAGGCCAGCCCAGGGGGCTGCCCAGGGGCCTCCGGGCTGGGCGGCCAGGCAGGGGTGGGGCGCTGGGACCTTCCCCGAGGGAGCCTGGCCCCCCAGGTGGGCCGCAGAGGGCCCCGGAGTCAGTGCCGGGCGGTGAGGGGCGAGGGCCCGTCCCCCTCCTTCTTCCGCTCCGGCCCGGCTCCTCTGCCGGTTCAGCTTTTGGGGGGGAAGGAGGGACGCTGACGGCACCTGCCGCGGAGATCCTCTGCCCCGCCCGGGGAGGGCCCTCGTCCGAGCCTTCCGGGTGGCCATGGAGCCTGGGCAGGGAGGGTCCGTGGTGCCAGTCACGATGGCGCTGGGCTGTGCGCCTGCTGCGGGGCCACCCCAGGCCCAGCTGCTCTGTAACCGGGGCCCCCTTTCTGGGGATGAGGCCCAGCAGGTGGGGCCTCGCCGCCCCTCGGAGGCCTCCCTCGGCTGCGAGCCCAGGAGTCTGAGGAGGATCCTGCCCTTCGGGGTCACCCCCATGTCCCCTGGGTCCCCCCCACCCCTCACACATCGGATGACCGCAGCTCTTGGGCCCCTGGGTTCCTTGGGGCCCGGAAGGGAGGGAGTGCCCCAAGGAACCCAGGTGCTGCCCACGCCTGCACACCCCGGGGGCGCTCCGTGCAGCTGGGCGGGCCTCTTGGGCCTCTGCTGGCTGGGAGCCTGCGGATGGGAGGCTCCCCAAGCCCACCCAGGCGGCCAGCAGCTCAGGTGCCTGGGCTGGACGGGACCCTGGCTGTGGGAAGCCAGCTCCCAGAGCAGCGCCGGGGTGTGTGTGGGAGCCCAAGTGTGTGTTCGTGAGCTTGTGCCTGTGTGTGGGCCCTCTGTGCATGTGTGCATGTGAGCTTGCGTATGTGAGCCATGTGTGAGCGTCCTGTGTGAGCCCATCTGGGTGTGAGCCCCACGTGTAAGTGTCCCCTCATGTCCTCCATGCCTCTGAGTTTCTGTGGTCTCCCACCTCTGTGGATCTGTCTCCAGTATGATGTTTTGGGGTGTGTGTACCCGGACGTGTGTCCGCTCAGAGCTGAGCTGTAAGGAGGTGGCAGTTTTAACCCAAGGCGGCGGAAGGACCTGGGAAGGATTCCAAGGCCCAGGGGTGCCCAGCCCTGCCTCCCACGTCCAGCGAGGTCAGGTAGCCTGCCCAAGGCCACACACCCAGGGCACATGGGTCCTTCAATGCAGACATCACGGCCCTTCTTCAAGTCATGGCCGCGAGGTCCCGGCGGGGGGCGGGGGGCTCCCTGTTTGAGACTGTCCTGCTCTATTTACAAGGGGTACCAAAGTTCCAGGCAGAGGGAGTCCCCAGCAGGGGGTCACTAGCCAGGAGAGAGGCTGAGAGCCCATTTGGCTGCACTGGGTGTCCCCTGGGGTGAGGGTGTGGGACTCCTGAGGCCCAGCTGGGGTCAGCGTAAGTGTGGGGTGAGCAGCCACCGGCGGCCAGGCGTGGGGCCTCCTCCCGGACCCCACTGAGCTCCGACGCCCTTCCCACCTCTGATCGGGCTGGCCCTGACCCTCCCCCATCCCTCCCCGGACCTTTCCGCCCAGACTGGTGCTGGCTTGCTGGCTGAGCAGCGTGGGAACTCAGGGACGGGAGTGTGGGTGAGCGGGCCCTGCAGGTCCACGGTCACCTTCCCCTGGGAAGTGGGACAGCAGCCTCCCCCAGACCCCTGCGACCCAGGGAGGGTCTGGTCCCCTGATGTTTAGTAAGTGTGCGCTCTGCTCCTCCGGAGCCCCAACTCCTGCCGACCTCCGAGGCCCCATGAGCGGCCTACCCTCCCAGCGCACCTCCCGCCACTGTCCCTCGGAGGCCCTTCTCCTCCGTCTGCGCCCAACCCTGGTCCTGCCTGGGCTCCCGGCTCCCCGCCGGGTGCCTGCCTGCACGGCACCTGTCACCCCTGCCATTGCCCGGCCTTTCCCCCGCGGACCCCAGGGGTCTGTGAGCCCTGCAGGCTGCCCGCTGCCCTGCCCGCAGTCGTGAGGGTGGCATCCGACATGCCCCCTCTCAGTGCCCACAGCAGGGACACCAAGGGCTGGCAGCAGAGTCAAGGATGAGCGGCGGGGGCTGGAGGGTCCATGTGCGTGTGTGCCCACCACATGCACACACATGTCCCCACATGCACATGCCTGCCCCTGCACACATGCTCACATGGAAGCACACACGCCCCTAGGTGCATACATGCTTGCCTATGCATGCATATACACGTGCCCACGGGATGGGCACACATGCATCTCCGTACACTGTGCACACAAGTGCACACTCACACACTGCCACACACATGCTCGTTTGCCAAACTGAGACCCACAATCATGTGTGCGCACACCTACACATTCTTGCGTGCACACACACTTCTGTACACCCACCCACCCTGTGCACACATGTGCACACATTGGCCACACATGTGTTCGCTGGCACACACATGTTTGCACACCCGCACAGCGGCCTCTAGCTGCTGCAGTGACCTCAAGAGCAAAGGAGTTGTTTTTTCCCCAACACATGTTCCCTGATAAAGAAAACAGGAAGGGACTTGGGGCCAGAGGCAGGAAGGGGAAGCAGCCCAAGCGCAGGAAGCCGGCTCCAGCCGCGGGGACGCTGGGCCTGTTTGGGAGGGACTCGGGCAGACAGACGGACGCCGCACCGTGGGGTGGGAGGTGGGATGCCCCCCAAGGCATCTGGGCCCTGCCGCTCATCCTCGCCTCAGCCCCAGAGGGGCCGCCCCCCTCTCCCCGGGTGAGAGACGGAGGAGGACCCCCGGAGGTGCGCCCCGCCGGGCCCCTCTGACCGCGTTCTTCTCGCCCTGGTCCGGCAGCTCACGTGGCATTCTGTGCCTCCACCTGTGCCAGAGAGCCCAGAGCAACACCCAGGACTGGCCGCAGGCCCGAGAGCAGGACTCTGTGGGCTCCCCCGGCCGGGGCCCGGCCCAGGGCCGGCCACACAGGGGTGCTCGTACAGCTCTATCAGTGTGGAAACAGGCACAGAGAGGGCCTGCCACCTGCCCATAGGCCACCAGCAAGGCGGGGCTGCCCCACCTGCCTGCACCTGCTGCAGCTCCTGGGAGAGTGGAGGGCTGGGCGGGGCTGGGGGGGCGCCAGGGTGCCCCTTCCTGGTCCCACCTGCAGAGGCTGCTGCAGCATCAGCTCAGTTAATCCTCGAAACCTGCAGGGAGACTCCTCCCCTCTTTGCAGGTGAGAAGGCCAGAGCTCCTCCTCCTCCTTTCCTTCCCCTCACTCCTGCCCGGGAGGGGTCCTGGAAGCCGCCCAGGTGGTGAGGAGGGAGGCGGGATTTCTGGGGTGGGCTGTGTAGGGTTCTAGGGTTCCAGAGACAGTTCCAGTCTGGCTTTGCCTTTTAGTTTCTTTTTTTTTCACTTAAAATAATGTCAGAAGGGACCCAGGATGACCCACAATCTTGGTGTGCCCGGAACTGAGGGTTCCTAAGACGCATACCGGACTTACAGGACCAAACAGGGGACGGCCCAGGAAACCAGGACAAATTGGTTGCCTGAGAGGGAACCTAGAGCCATTTAATCCAACCCCACCTGATGCTTGCACTCCCTCCACTGTGTCCTCACCCTGTGGCTGTCTGTCCTGTTTACATACCTCCAGTGACAGTGAGCTCAGTACCAAACACAACAGCAAGAGCCAACCAAGAGGTGAACACAGCCAGGACCAGGCACTGACCACAGCAAGGCAAGAGTAGGCGGAGTGCGGGGCCCTGAGCTACCTTCAGGGACAATCACACAAGGCTTCCCAGCGAAGGAGGCGGGGGAGGACAGGGGACTCCCGGCCAAGGGAACAGCACCGGCAAAGGCCAGGAGGCCTGGAAGCCCCTCGGAGGGACTGAACCTCTCAGCTGTTCTCTCTGACAGCCGGCGCGACGTGGCACCCTGTGTCCAGGAGGGAGTCCCTTGGGAAACACGGTGGCCCGGCCCCTCCTGCCTTCACTCCCCAGGTCTTGGGGCAGGTCCCTCAGTGCCGACGGGATTGCTGCCCATCGTCCTGGAGTTTCCTGCCACCCCTCACTCTCCTGAGGCTCAGGGACCCATCGGCACCAACACTGGCTTCCTCCTTCAGTCCCACCACTCATGGGCCAGGTGGCCTGGGGGGGGGGCCTCGCTTGACCCCATCTGTGACGTGGAGACACAGCCGCGGCTGCTGCGGAGGGCACGGCCCCATCCAACGTGGGCACACGCCCAGCGCATGGCATCGCTCCTCCTTTCTGTCCAATGCCCATACATGTCCCTCGCTGGCCGGGTGGAACCATCCCAGGGAGACAGCGTGCAGGCGTTCTGGGGTCCCCCGGGCCGGGGCTGAGGTGTGGGGGGCTGAGCAAACACCCAGGGACACCCAGTTTCTCAGGCACCGTTCAGAGGCTGCCAGGAGAGGCCCGGGCCAGGGAGGGCAGTGCCCAGATTTATCCACCAATCGCGCGGGCTGCTGGCACTGGAGCACGCTCTTATCTGCCCGGCCCAGCATGGGGGTGGGGGTGGCCGGCCGGCGGGGCGGGACGCTGCCTGGGGACTGGACACCGCAGCTGTGTGCCGGCAGCCCCGAGCCCCACCAGGTGGGTGACAGCGGGAGGTCCCAGCGTCCCTGCAGGCCGGTGGCTGGCTGCCCTCTCCTCTCCTGCACCATGTCGGACGGCGAGGGCCCCTCTGCCGGTGAGTGGCCGCGCTATATTTACCCACTACAGGTCCGGTTGCAGAGTCCAGGCCACGGGTCCCCGAGAGCACTGCCCCCCTCCCCAGGCTGCGGCTGCTGTGGAGCTGGGCCCCTTTCTCCTAGCCCGGTGCCTGGGGGCCTTTTGCTCCGGAGGAGGGAGCTTGACTTTCAAAGCTCACTTCTGCCCCCCCCCCACCCCGCCTTCCTTGTGGGGCTGGAGCAGGAAGCTCTGTCTGCTACCAACCCCTCTCGCTGACAGCCGGGGCATCCAGAGATGACCCACAGTGCAGCGGTGGCCCAGGTTCGGCTGGATGCCTGGGGGAGCTCGGGGGGCCACGGGCCCTGGAGCTGCAGGCAATACATGTGCGTGAATATTTATCTGGAGTGGGGGAGCCTGAGGCTCGTGGGAAGTGCTGAGCCCCTGGTTTGCCCACACAAGGCAGGTCCTCCGTGGGCCCCCAGACCTTCTAGGCTGGAGGCGGCCAGGGACAGAGTTAGGAGGAGGGGGGGGCAGACGCTGGGGTCGGCCTGCATATCCTCTGTCCTGCCCCTGGCGGGGACTCGCTGCTCGGGTCCCTGGCTGGCTGCACCTGGCTCCTTCTAGCTGAAGACGAAGCTGTGAGGTGGACATGCCCCTGAACCGGCCTCGGCCAGTGCAGGCGGCGGTTTAATCTTGGGGGCACATCGAGGACTCTGGAGTCAGGCTGCCAGGCTCAAATCCCAAGTCTTTCACTTCCAACCTGGGTGACCTTGGGCAGGTGGCTCAGCTGCCCTAAGCCCCAGTGTCCCCAGGGGAAAAGCAGGCAGGGCTAATGGCCCCTAAGCACAGGCGGCTGCGAGAGCAAACGTGGTAACGTGCGGAAGCAGCTGCCAGCGCCCGGTGTGCAGCGAGTGCTCAGTGGCGCCTTCCCGGGAGCACCCTCAGGGGGCCCGGCAGGAGTCTCGGGGTGCAGGGACCTGTGTGCCAGTCCGGCCCCTCCAGCTGGGCCGCCCTGCCAAAGCCTCTGTGTGGCCGTGGATGCCTCCTCTGTCAGGCACCGCTGGGGAGGTGCGTGGGCATGCCGGGCTGTCTGTCCCGGGGGTCCCGGGCTGGGCTGTGGGTCTTGGTGATTGGGCACCTCCCCCCACCGAATGGCATCTGAGGGACAACCCCGGTGCCTGGGCCTGGCCGAGACAGACTGGGAACTGTGTGTGTGGGAAGGGGACACCAACAACGCTGGCCTGGCCTCACCCTCTCCCGCCAGGCGCCAGCAGCACTGGCTGCCAGGAATTGTCCGCCGTGGCTGTGAAGGCCAAGGAGCCAGTATGGGGTGGGGTGGGGGGGTGCAGCCCTTTCTGGCCTGCTCTGTCCACACCTGACATGAACCCGGAATAGCTCTTTCCCTCCACCAGGGACACAGCCCTGCTTTTAGCAGCTTGTAAAGCCACCCGTGCAGAGGTGGGTATTTCAGGAAGGTCGGGACGATATTTAGCCGACTGGGGCCGTGGAATGGCCCTGAGCATGTGTGCGTGTGCGCGCATGCTTGTGTGTGTGTGCTCGGGAGGCTTGGAGGAGACAAGGCCTTCATTGCCCCTTCACTGTTTGGAAGGGAGTCACTGGGCTCAGGGGCCTGTGGGCACCCTCCTGGCTCTGCCCGCCTTGGCCGGCGGGTCGCCCCGGGCAAGCCTGGGCCTTGGCTGCTTGCCTATAGAACACCATGTGATGGTCTTGGTCTGTGATGTGCTGAGCTTTCGATGGAACATGGCTGGCAAAAGAGAAGACAGCACCCGGGCGCAGGGGTGCTTTTTATGGGGGAGCCTCCCAGAGCGAGCCGCCTAAGGTTCAGGTCTTCCTAGCTCCTGCCCCGCGGAAGTGATGGGGCCAAGCAGGCTGCTGTGAAGTGTCGGTGCCTCTTTTCGGGAACCAAGCCCGGGGCCTGTGTCCACGGCCGCAGCATTCTCAGTTCTCCACCGGCTACCTGTGTGAGCTGGGGCAGACCGCTCAAGGGCATTGTGCCTCACTTTCTTCATCTGTTAATGGGGACAAGAGTGGGGCATTAGCTTCTCGAGTTCGAGTGAGGATTTAGTGACTGAAAGCATGTCATGCTCTTAAAATAATGCCAGGCTTATTGTTAGCAATTGTAGCTGTTATTCAACCAGTGAACTGTGAGCCTCTGAGCAAATGCAGGGACCAAATTATCTGCTGCGTCCTGTGTCTTGGCCATTTTGGACACATTGTCTGTGCAGTCCCTTGCGGGGGGTGGCACGAACCGCACTGTGTTGCTAAGGGAACTGAAGTTCAGAGGGGCAAACAGGTTGCCCAAGGCTGCCTGGCTGGTAAATGGGAGAGCTGGGGTTCGAATCCAGCGCTGCAGACCCTGTTTGTGCAGAACCGAGACTGGTGTCCCTCCTGGGGTCTCCCACCCTGCTCACCTGAGGGGGCTGGCGCTCTCACAGGCCTGTTTGGCCCTCAGAGCTCCCCATTTCGGAAATGCTGGCTCAATATCGCTCCCAATAATGCGGAGCCTGTAACAAAAATGTGGTACCTTGTTAGGGTGTTAGGAAAATCCCTGAGCAGGAGAACAGGGGCAGGCGGTCGGCTCCAGGATTTGGGGCCCCGGGGCCTGGGCCAGGGATCCCGCAGGCTAAGGTTACCGGGTGTCAGCATCGTATTTATAGCAGGAGCTCGCTGCACCCACAACTGCCAGCGGAGGCGCTGCCCTCACGCCGCCCAGATGCTGCGCTTGGCTCTGGCCCTTGCAGAGGTGGAGCCAGCGGGGATTGCTCCCCCTCTGAGGCTGGGTTTCCTCCTCTGTAGAAGGGGGTGGGGAGCCTGTCCATCCTTCCTGGGGCGGGTTCAGTGTCAGTGCTGGCACTGCCTGGGAAGAGGCGCCCCGGAGGCGCTGGCCCCACACCACCGAGGTCTGTGCGTTGCCTCTTCCTGCCTTGGACCGTGTGACCCACCCGCTCCCTGGCCAGCAGAACTGCGCAGGAAGAGAGTCCAGCCTCTTGGCCGACTGTCCCCCTCTGTTCAGGGAAGTTTCCGGCAAAGCAATCTTATCATTCCAAGCACCCAAGGACAGGCCGCTGTATTCTCAGCAGGTCCGCCAGAGCCCAGGGTTCGAGTCTCTGCTCTGCCACTGCCCACTCTGTGGCCTTGGGGGCATCACTTAACCCCTCCGAGCCTCAGAGACAGGTGGCATTAGCCATCCCTTGGAGCGGGTGGTGAGGACGGACCCCCCGTCTGTGTACATGCTCAGCCAGCACAGCAGCCTGCTCTCTCCTCCTGCGTCACCTCCCAGCAGCCTCCACTCTGAGTCCCAGTCGCCCCATCAGTATGGTGGGAAGTGGCTGCCCCCGCCAGAACTCTGGGCTCCTGGAGGTTCCGCATGGCTCGGCTGGGGAGGGCAGACAGCTCTCCGGGGTCCCCAAAGGGCCCCGTCCTTGGCTCTCTAGGTGTCTCCCTCTACCTGAATCCCAGGAGGTTTACCAACGGTGGGAGCCGGGCACGGGAGTGGGAGTGGCCCCCTGTGCCCCAGACAATTCCTTCTGGCATCCCGGAGCCCAGAGACAGCCCCAGCTTCTTGCCCCCCACCAGAACTCCTGAAGTGGGGGCCTCGCCAGGGGGCAGGGCAGCCTCCGCCTCCCTCCTCACCCTGCTGGGGCTTTATTCTCCTGTCTGATTACTGATCCGCCGCAGGGAGGGGCCTGTGGTGGCAGACTCTGCAAGGAGATAAAAGCAAATCCCTGGGGTCACTGAGGCACTGCTCATGGGGAGGGCGCATCCCCCCCACCCCCGGGAGGCGGGGCTTGGGCCCTGGGCACAGCTTCCTTCCAGTGGTGCTCCCGCCCGCCCCGCCTCGTGATGGTGAGGGCTGCCCGCTTTCTCAACAGCTGCCTGGGTTCAGGGTACATCTCTTGGTCACTAGGGAGCCCGTGCAGGCTCTGGAGCCAGCGAGATCCCAGGATGGTCAGTGTCGGGGGCAGAGGGGCTGGAGCGAGAATGTGGAGGCCTCACGAGGCCTGGGGGAGGCTGGTGCGAGGGTTGTGAGTGGCCTGGAGGGCAGAAGGGGGTGGATTCAGAAACTGCGGGGGGTGGGGAGGGCTTGGGAGGCTGGCCTGATGCGGCTCCCGCCGTCCCCCCCGCCACCTCCCGGAAGGCCTGGAGGCCTGGCGGCTCAGTCCCAGGGTCGGGCTGCAAAGCACTCGGGAGTGGATGGAGGATGGTGTCCGGGGCCGGGAGGGCCTGCCACCCGCCGTGGACACAGGCAGGTCCTTCTTGCCGACCTTCGGTCATTTTGTCTGCCCCGTGAAAGTGACACCAGGACCTTGGGGAGCGTCACGGGGACTAGATGAGAGGGTGTCTTCTAACTCTCTATGAACAGTGGGCCAGGGGCCGGTGTGGGCGGGAGCCCAGTGGTCCTCCGGAAGGAGCCTTCAAGCCTTCGCCACAGGTGTGGGGGGCCCTTGGGATATCGGTGACGAGAAGGATTTAATCTGAGCAGCATGAAATGACCTTGCACAAAAGGCGGGGGGTGGTGAAGGGCCGACGGCGAGGGGGCCTCCAGATGGGGCTCCCCATCGCCGCCCCTCACAGTTCCCAGGCACAGTCGTCACACCACATGCCGCAAGCACGTTCCCACCGCACGGGATCCCCATGTGATGGCGGGGAAGCTGAGGCTCAAGAGAAAGGAAGGCTGTCCCCGGGACACCCGGCTACGGGATGATGAGCTGGGACTCAGGCCTGGTCCCAAACAAGTCCAGCCTCTGTGGCACCTTGGCTCAGGCTGTTCCACTTCGTCCCGCTCAGAGCCAGCCCGTCATCCGGGCTTGGGGGCCACGCCTCCTCCAGGGGCCCTTTCCCAAGTTCTCCTGCCCCGGGGACCCCGTCCTTAGAACGCCCTGCACGGGCCCTTGTTCAGACACAGTGTGGCCGGGGCCAACCTGGGTGCCCCTGTCCTGCCCACAGGGCGCTGGCTGTCAGGAGACATGTTTGGCGGGGCTCACTGCTGTGTGACCT